ATGCCTTTATGAAATGAACTCCAGGAACCCCAAAAGCTGCCAGGATGAGGTCCGAGGGTACCCAAAGGCCTCTGGGCAACAAGGCTTTCCTCTCAGTCTGAGAGCCAGGAGGCAGAACTGATCCCAGAAGAGGTGATCAGATCCAAGTGCTCCCCAGGTTCTCCCTAGGGAGCCTACCTGAAAGACAGGGGAGACATCTCCAAGCACCCCATCCCTGGCTCCCCCTGCTCTAGAACTGCCTCCTCTCAACAGCGGCCAGTGCACTCACTCCTGGTTGCGCTGGACATGGCTCCCTGCCCCTGCAGTTCACGGGGACATGTCCCAGGGAAAGGCACCCCTGCTCGTCTGGGGGCTGCTCACAGGGTCACTCTCAGGAGTTTCAGGTTTCTGCGGATGAACTCCTCCAAGGTCCCAGAGGATAAGTTGGACCCCCCAAGGAATCTGGGCTCAGAGGTGCACACTGTGGCCTCCAGGCTCATTGCCTGAGTCTCACCAGCTGTCTTTGGTGCCTGATCCCAGGACTGAACACAGATCTCTCCTCTTCAGCTCTCTGCTGCCACCATGTGGCTATCTCGAGAAGGGCGAGGTCTACTGGAGGGTGCCCCAGGCRGACGCAGCAGCCCCATTCAGACCAGGAAAGCCTTCTCTGACTGCAACTGTCAGCGCCCCAGGCCCCCACCCCAACGCCCAGTTTAGTTTCCAATCTGAAAGCTGAGCAAACCTCTCCAGGCACACAGCCTGAGTTACATCCTGAGAAGGACGGAGGCCTCCCTTCCCGCTTCGCCCGCCTCCCTTCCCTCCTTCCCCCTTGGCTCCCCACCCAGACCTTGCCAGCAGGCAGGAAGGAAGCTGCTCATAGTGGGGAGGGTGGGGCACTTCCAGCTCACACTGAACAACCTGGGTTGGGCTACGAGGAGTCAGGACCTTCCGCTCTTGCCACCCGCCACCCTCCGCAGCTCCCCAGCTCAGCCCCTGAACACCCAGACCTGGGACCCAGGGCCTTCCCTTCCCAGCTTAGGCACCCTAAGGTCAGGGCATTGTCCCCCTCCCAGCCCTGCACAACACTCTGGTCTGAGAGGGAAAGCAGAAGTCAGACTCACCACCTTCTGAGAGTTCAGGAGGGAGCAGGGGGCACCAGAGGTCTGGCCCACCCTAGAGAGAGGGTCACCCTATTCTGTCTCCCTGTCAACCAGGGTCAATGAGGGTGAGGTCCGGGCCAGCCTACCCAGTGGCAGAAACACAGCTACTGTCAGGGGTGGAGGGGCTGGGCTCCCAACCAGATCACCTCCAGAGCCCCATCCAGCTTGACACCTCACAATTTAAATTTTTAAACCATTTCTTTTCAATAGAGTTGCAACCTTAAAACTTTAATTTTTTTGTTGTGTCAGAAATTACTCTTGGGGCTGGAGATATACCTTAGTTGGTAGAGTGCCTGCCTCGCATGCCCAAAGCCCTGGGTTCAATCCCCAGCACTGCAAAAGAAAGAAAAGAAGGAAGGGAGGGAGGGAGGAGAAATCACTCTTTAAAATGCAATTACTAAATAAATATACAATAAAATGCAGCTGCCGATGGGAGCAGTCAGACACTAAGACACAGAAGCGTTAATTCCTTAGCAGCAGAGAAGCCCGCAAAGAGCAGAACCTTGAGAGGAAGGGAAGAGGCCATCTCAGAGGTAGAGTCAGCTGTCAGGATGGCCACACTGTTTGTGTTCTTTTTAATTGGTGCTTAGAATTGTACATATTTATGGGGTACATAGGTGATGTTTCAAAACATACATATATTGCATAACCGTAATACAATACATTGTTCAAATCATGGTAAACATATCCATCTCCTCAAACATTTATCATTTCTTTGTAGTGAATACATTCAAAATTCCTTCTTCTGGCTTTTTTGATATAAGCATACTATATATACCTTTACCTATAGTTACCCTGCTGTGCACAGACCACCAGAACTTATTTCTTTTATCTAACCATGATTTAGTATGTTGAGCAACTTCTTTCCCTCCCTTCCTTCCCCACTGAACTGTTGGATCAGAGCACCTTATAGAGGTTAGGAAAGGCTGGGTAATGTTGGCCTCACTCCAGGAAAGAGAAGGAGACTTCCCTGTTGGGAAAGCTTCCGCTTCTGACATTTTCTGTCCCTTTGACTTTTTCTCCTCCTTTTCTTCAACCCTGCCATGGCGTACTTTGCCCCAACTCAAACCCAATCGGGTCCCCCTGGCCCACGGCCTCATGCTGGCTGCATGTACTGGGCCTCATCTGCTTTTGTGGATGAGAAGTTCTCCTTCTTGGATCTGTCCCTTCACCCCAAACCTTTCTGTGCCCATACCTATCTGTCTCAACCAAACCCCTCCTGAGCAACCCTCCTCACTGACTCTAGAACACAGCCTTGGGTCCCTGGGATGGCTGTATTCATCTGCAGTGAAATGAGCCAACAATCATGAAGCTCCCACTCAGGGCAGGGTGCTCAGACCTGGCAGAAGATCCCAGTAAGCAGAAGTGGCCTCAGTCTTACAGAGTACACAGCGCACTTGGGTGAGAACTAACATGCACAGAGCAAAATGCCTGAAAACCAAGGCCCAGAGGACCCAGAGGAAGAGACAGTTCCAGGACCCAGGGACAGGATGACAAAGAACCACCCAGGAAGTACAGAGGGGTCACCCATGGCTGTGCGGTAGTCAGGTCCTCTGGGAAGCAGACCCCAAGAAAGGGTTGGCAGCATAAGAGAATTACTGGGGGCAAGGGAAGGTAATACCAGAGAAAAAAACAGAGGGGAGAGGGGAGTGGGCAGGAGAGGAATCCAGAACATGACACGGGTTTGACTCCTGTAGCRGGAGAAAGGGAAGAAGAGACCGGAAGGGACTCTGACACAGGGAGCTATGAGGGTCTCAATCTGGCCAGGTGGGGTGCTGGCCTAGAGGGGTCCCATCCAGCCCGGAATAGGAACCTGTTCCCCTTCCCAGGCTCAGGAACTGTCTGAAGCTCTCATGGCCTTGGGCAGAATACAGGGAAGATCCCTCGGGCATCTCAGCTGGTGCCTATGCTCTGAGAGGGGGACATGGGCAGAACACCTCCAGAGCTGCCTAGAATGGGCTAAGAAGGAGCAGAGAAAGAGGTTCCTTAGTCTTCAGGGGCAGAGGAGAAAGAGAGATAGAAGGGATAATGTACCAAGGACCCAGAATCAGGAAAGCACAGGACTGTTTGGGAATCTATAAGAAAGTCCATTTTTCCTGGAGCAAGGGCTTTGAGCAGTGCCTGGGGAAACAGGCCAGGCCAGTGTGTTAGAGTGGTCTACCTCCACCAGAAGTTAGGGGAGAGCCAAAGTATGAGGTAAGCCCTGTTTCTGAGAGGAATCTGGCAGCAGGGTGGAACCCAGATGAGACAGGGAGACCACAGTGCCAGGAGACCCCCCAGAGAGGATGGCAGTCAGACGTACAGGCAGGAAGACACAAGAGTTTGGGTATCTGCTTGCCGCTGTCACCTTGACCCTGAGGAGGCCAGTCAAGAGGAACCCTTGGTTGTCCACATTTTAGGTGGCGGCTGAGATAGGAGCCAGACTCGGGATCCATCTGACTCAGCACGACTGAAGAGTTCTGAGAGGAAGGGGCTAGGTCCCATCTGCTACTCCCTGGGAAAGTGAAGCAGTGGGGACAGCAGGGACTCAGGCTTGGGGGTGTGGGGGACAAGCTAGACTGAGCACTAGTCTCCCTCCTCCCCTTCCTCCCCTCCCCCACGAGCAGCAGGGCACTCGGGTTCAGAGGCAGTCCCCCTCCCCTCCTCCCTCCCAAACTGACAGACCCCACCTTCTTGGTGACCCCAGAGCTCAGCACAGCCCCTTCCTTCCGGCTGATCCGCCTATGGCCCCCCACCCAGGCCCACCCCAATCTTATCCTCCACTGCTTTTCAAAGGAGGCTGGCCAACAAAAATGCACATGTTTGTTTGTCTGCCTGTCTGCCTCTCCCAGTCTCTGCCTCTCCATCCCGCCCCCGTCCCCGTCTTTCAGCTTGTTTTTATTCTTGTAGTCTCCCCTAGTCTTTGAGGTCTAAAACCCACAAGGCTTCCAATCCTGTGGACCCAGATGACCAGCTCTTTCACCAGCCCCCAGAGAGCACAGAACTACAAACCCCAGCATGCACTTCTGCCTGAGGCGTTCAAAACAGCACCAGTGTGCCACCCCCTGCATTCTGGGAACTGTAGTTTGCCTTGCCCAGTCTTGTCAGGCCTCCAAGCTCTCCCCCTGGGCCGTCCTGTCTCAGTCCTGATTGCTAGGTCTCTCTACTGACCTGTTGCCCCAGGGAAGCATGCGTCACTAAACCACAGGGTGGGGGTGGAGGCCCTGGATAGCAACTTCCTGCCCTTTTGTATCCCCCACTTGAGTCATAGGGGGTGGGGGTTCCAGGAAATTAGGACTGAGAGAGGAAGGGATACCCTAATGCCAGCTGCAAGGACAAAGGGTCACTGCATCCCTGCTGGGCCTGCATACTCAAGAACCCCAAAAGACACGGAGGTGGGGCTAGGATCACCAAGATGGGGGTGGTGAAGAAGAGGGTCGAGGTTAGCCTGGGAGTCCCTGTGGTCACTAGGACTGTGGGACTTCATCATCCCTGCTATGGAGGCAGTGATCAAAGTCCCCGTCTTCTGGCCTGACACCTCCAAAGCATCTTCCTGACCTTCTGGTTGCTCCACCCCACCACTCCCCCCAGGCCCTGCTCCTGCACTCCAGCCCCAGGCCTCTGCTGGACACCTGGGTTCCCACTTATCAGCACAAGCCCTCATGGCGGAACCCAGGCGTCCGGCCTCCCACCCTGTGGGCCAGCGGGCGTGGAGCCGAGGCTTTAGAGCCTCCCAGCCGGCCTTGTTCCTGTCCCATTGTGTATGGGACATGGGCGGGGCGAGGGCCAGCACCAGGGAGCCCCCCTCCCTTCAGCCCCCTCCCTGCTTCCTAAGGAAAAGGACAGGGCTCTGCTGGAGCGGGAGGCAGAGTTGACGCGCAGCCGACATGGGCAACTTGAAGAGCGTGGGCCAGGAGCCTGGGCCACCCTGCGGCCTGGGACTGGGGCTGGGCCTCGGGCTGTGCGGCAAACAGGGCCCAGCTTCTCCAGTATCAGAGCCCAGCCGAGCACCAGCATCCCCACCCCCACCCCCACCGGCACCAGACCACAGGTGAGAGACCGGAGCAGGTGGGCAGGAGGGTGTGGTGGAGGCCTAAAGCCCAGGGCTGGAAAAGGCTGAAGCCAGCAGCTCAGCCAGAAGGGCCAGGTCACCGACACAAAAGGTCAAGGCCATCAGTATAGACTATAGACAGGACAGGCAGAAAGAGACCGGGGTCAAGGTCCGAGTAGCAGGTGAACGTGAGACTTAAAGGGGCCTGCTACAGAATTGGACCAGGGTTTAACGCCAAGAACTGTTTGGCTTCTAAAAAGTTACTTACCTCTCTGAGCCTGTATTTGTCTAGGATGGGGACATGGTAGTACTTACCCCCATCGGGTTGTAAGTTTCTAGCTCATGGCAAGCCTTCGACAAACAGAAGTGATGATTAAGCAATCATCACGCTTAACTGGACGAAACAGGAGCTGGGGAGGGGCATTCAAGGAAAGTAAGGGAGTGGGGTATCATGGAAGGAAGAGAGAGCTGAGCCAGGAGACTCAGGCCCTTGAGGTGGGGGCTGAAAAGGCAAGGTTAGGCCCTTTCTCTGCTCCAGGCCCCCTTCTAGTGGCTGCCAGCCCCAAACTGGACCCTGCAGCCCTAGCCCCAAGAAGAGTCCCTCCTGGAGCCAAAATCCCTGGAGAAGGAAGGACTGGGAGGCCCACTGGGGTGCTAGGCCAGGGCTGCGGCCCTGCAGCTCAGGCGCACCCCAGCCTGAGTCCCTCCCTTCCTCCCCTCGCTGGCTGGCGGCTCTGGAGGAAGTGATAAGGCCTCTGAGGCTTCCCTTCACACGAGGGCCACTGTCAGGAGGGGTGTGAGTGGAAGGAAAATCAGGGCTGAGGAATCCCTGCAGGGGCTTCCCTCAGCTCAGATGAGCACGGGCTCCATCCCCCTCAAGTAGGGCTTGTGACAACTTGAAGGATGGGACACTTGTCCTGGTATATTTTCTGTTGCTATACCGCACTCCCTGAGATCTAGTGACTTATAAAGAGGTTTATTTTGCTCATGGTTCTGGAGGCTGGAAGTGCAAGAGCATGGCATGGGTATCTCACATGGCAGGGGGCTTCATGTGGCAAGACAACACAAGGGGGCACGTGTTCTTTTCACAACAAAGCCACTTCCGCTAAAACCCGTTCATCTATGACGGGATCACTCACTCACAAGGGCAGAGCCCCCTCTTGACATAATCACCTCGAAGGTCTCACCTCTCAACACTGCCATGGTGGGGACAAAAGTTCCAGTCTGTGAAATTACAGAGACACATTCAGACCATAGCAACAGCTCGCCTGCAAAAGAAGTAGGGCGGGCACTATACAGAAAYGGGGACCCAGCCGGGAGGCCCAGGCCTGACTGGGCACCAGGAGGCCAGAGGCAACAGGTAGGGGAAAAGCGCCACCTGCACACCTCCGCCAGGAGCCCTGACTTTCCGGAGCCTCCAGGGCCCTCTCTTCCTACCTCCTGAAGCCTTGTGCAGGGTAGCAGAAAATGTCAGGAGGCAGACGGCAGGCAAGCCACAAATCAGTRGGATCAGCGGTGCTGTGGGAGGGATATCCAGGCTACCTGGGGGGAGCCCCAAAAGAAACAAACTCCTTTCCTGTGATTCTGTCCCTGACTCCCAACAGTCCCCCACTAACCAGGCCCCCGGAGGGACCCAAGTTCCCACGAGTGAAGAACTGGGAGATGGGCAGCATCACCTATGACACCCTCAGTGCCCAGGCCCAGCAGGTGAGGGGGGCCCCCAGCATATCCTGGGGGCTGCGGGTGGGGGTGTAGTTGTTGAGGCCTGGTCTCAGCTGCAGGCCAGAATAAGGAAACTCTGCCCTGCCTGGAATTAGCCCCTAGTCTCCCAAAAAGTGGTGAGGACTGGAAAGAATCAGAGGAGCTGAAGGTCAGGCAGGGACTTTGTTGACTCTCAGTCCCTCGCCTTGAACCCAGCCCTGATTCAAGTATGCCCTAAACCCTTCCAACCTCACCCCCATTTCCATCACAGTCCTGGCCCAGACCCACACCTCCCTGAACCCTTCCTCCCTCTGCTCCAAACTCCTGAACCAGTCCCTGCCACCCCGCCACCAACCCTACAGTCTGACTTGGGGACCTTCGTGCTCCCTGCTCCCCCTAACTAGGATGGGCCCTGCACCCCAAGACGCTGCCTGGGCTCCCTTGTATTTCCAAGGAAAGTACAGAGTCGACCCTCCCAGAGCCCTCCATCCACTGAGCAGCTGCTGGGTCAGGCCAGGGACTTCATCAACCAGTACTACAGCTCCATCAAGAGGTGAGACTTCCCTGAGCTCACAGGGCCCCCTCGTCCCACTGAGGCCCCAGAAACCTCAGGATCACCCTCCCTACACTCCATTCCCTCACCGGATCCTCACACCAAAGGCTGAAGGCCCCCACTTCTTATGGCGTGCCCTCCCTTTCTTCCTAGGAGCGGCTCCCAGGCCCACGAGCAGCGGCTTCAGGAGGTGGAGGCTGAGGTGGCAGCCACGGGCACCTACCAGCTCCGGGAGAGTGAGCTGGTGTTCGGGGCCAAGCAAGCCTGGCGCAATGCTCCCCGCTGTGTGGGCCGGATCCAGTGGGGAAAGCTGCAGGTGTGGCCAGCTGGCTCGTGCCCAGGATGAGCCCGGGGGACAGAAAGGAGAGGGGAGGGTGTGGGTAGCCCCTGAGGCTTCCCTGGGGTGCCAAGCAGTAAGGAGGATCCTAACCACTGCCCTAGAGATGAAAAGTAAGGGGATGGGCCCACCCTCAGAGTCCCTAGGGAGCCTCAGTCTGGTAGCTGACACCTGGTTAGCAGAGCCTTGGCTGGGACAGGGATGAAAACTCTTAAGCTCCACTGAGCATGTGAGGACAGCTGAGCAGGGACACCCTAGGTGGCTGTCAGAGGAACAAAAAGCAGCTTTTGGGAAAGGCCCCTAACTGGCTGTTTCTGCCAGGCAGGACTTGCTACCCAACCAGGCCCCTCCTCACACCCCCTGCTCCCTGCTGGCCCCCACACCCTCCTTCACACACACATATACACACACACACACACACACACACACACACATCGCTCAGAGCTAGCCTGGGCTGCTGGAACAGCCTGGGACCACAGCACTAGAGAAGCAATGGACTCAAAGGGGAACTAAATCCGTGACCTTGGCCTCCTTGGCTATAAGTGGCCATCAAAGAATGTGGAATGAAACCACAGACTCAGCAAATCCCAAAGGCGCCTCCAATAAAATAAGAACTATCCCAACCCTCACCCAACCTCTAAATTATTCAAAGCTTTAGCTCAACTTATACCCAAAGTTTCCATAATAGTCCCCACTCCTTGCTGTCTTGCTGTGTCCTTCCCTTGGCCCCAAGCCAGCTCCTGCCAACCCCTGTCCCTGTCAAAAGTTTCTTCCTCCCTCAGACAGGAATAGGACCTCCCAGCCTCTTCCTGAGGCCTCCACTCTGCCAGTCAAAAGGACTCCTAGCATCAGACTGTCAGCCCCAGAGGCCACCTAGTACAACCACCCCTCCCAGTATCACTGTGCTCAAGGAGTAAGAAGACTGACCAGGGTCACCTGCCCTTGCAGCTAAAGTCAGCTACTAGAGGGAGGAGAGATTCTACCCTAAGAGATCAGAGCAGGCTATGCAAGGTGTGCAGGGGTGCAGGGCAGGAAGGGGTCATCATAGATACAAATAGAGAGGATGGATTAAGTGGACATGGAGTGGTTCCCCTAGCCCCTGCCTCCTTCCCAGAGAGCCACGCACAAGTTCCCACGGGGCTGGCACTCAAGAGCCCTCTCTTTTTGCCTTTCCCCCTGCCTTGGCGGGCCCAGGTGTTTGATGCCCGAGATTGTAGGTCTGCCCAGGAAATGTTCACCTACATCTGCAATCACATCAAGTACGCCACCAACAAGGGCAACATCCGGTGAGTGTCCTGTCCTCCTCCCCACTGTGCCAGGCCCCAGCCCACACTGGGCCGCAGGGAAGGAGGGGTTCTGACCAGCTCTCTTCCCCACATCAGCTCGGCCATCACAGTGTTCCCCCAGCGCTCCCCAGGCCGCGGGGACTTCCGAATCTGGAACAGCCAGCTGGTGCGTTATGCTGGCTACAGGCAGCAGGATGGCTCTGTGCGGGGGGACCCTGCCAACGTGGAGATCACCGAGGTGGGCACTGAGGCAAGAATGGGATATGACAAAGAAGAGGGTACTGCTGGACAAGGACATCCAGCCAGTGAGGGATTCTTGAAGTAAAGGATGGAAGTGACTAATGGAGAGGACCTGAAGAGGGCCCCTGGGACCCACTTCTGCCCATTCCACACAGCTCTGCATCCAGCATGGCTGGACCCCAGGAAACAGTCGCTTCGATGTGCTACCCTTGCTGCTCCAGGCCCCTGATGAGCCCCCAGAACTCTTCACTCTGCCCCCCGAGCTGGTCCTCGAGGTGCCCCTAGAGCACCCCACGTGAGCATGAAAGGGACAGGGTGGGGTGGTAAGGCCATCTCTGAGCCTCTAGGGAAGAGACTGCAGGGAGCCCCTGGCAAAGGCTCTGTGGGGGGCTGATCCAAGCCTGACACCCCCAGGCTGGAGTGGTTCGCAGCCCTGGGCCTGCGCTGGTACGCTCTTCCTGCCGTGTCCAACATGCTACTGGAGATAGGAGGACTGGAGTTTCCCGCGGCCCCTTTCAGCGGCTGGTACATGAGCTCTGAGATCGGCATGAGGAACCTCTGTGACCCTCACCGCTATAACATTCTGGAGGTGAGGGCCACTGGTGAAGAGGGGTGTGGAGCTGCATGCCCTACCCTCAGAAGGCCAACCTGAGAATCTGAGCTCCATCAGGTCTAAGGACAAGGGTTTTAGAAACACCAAAGCCAAGGCAAAGGGGCGTGTGTGTGTGTGTGTGTGTGTGTGTGTGTGTGTGTGTGTGTGTGTTTCCAGAGCTAGAATCTACAGTTCTATAGCTTTCATCAGATTTTCTCAAGCGAGGCCTTAAAAGATTAAGACCCATTTCAGAGTTAAGGCCCAGGACTGCCTGGGAAGTGACTGGCACAAGGCCTCTCTTCTCTGTGGTGACTTTGCAGGCAAAAACCTGAGCTAGACCACACTAAGCAGTTGAGCCCCCCAAGGCCTGCTCCTACCTCTCACTTCTTTCACCCACAAGTTTGAGGTGAGATACTCTCTATCCACTACCCACTGCCTGTGTCCCAACCAATGCCATGCTCCCCTGCTCCAGGACGTGGCCGTCTGCATGGACCTGGATACCCGCACCACGTCATCCCTCTGGAAAGACAAGGCAGCAGTGGAAATTAACGTGGCTGTGCTGCACAGTTACCAGGTGCGTGGGCTCACACTGGCCAGGAAGGCAAAGGGCCAGGGGTGCAGCAGGTAGAAAAGAGAGAGGCACCTAGAAACTGGGGCAGAACTTGGATGGTGGACGTTCCATAGTCCATGTACCATGGGGCACACTGGACCTGCAGCTATGGCCACAGTTATTCTAGATGCTACAGTATGGGGGCCTGGTGCATGCTGGGAACCTCGCTCAGCAGTTCTATCCCTGCAGCATATTGTGGGATCCACTGAGTATCAGGATGGAGGGCATTCTAGGTGTAGTACATGCTGAGATGTGTAGTTGGAGGAATCTGGTGCCTGCCAACTACTTCTACGAGGTTTCTCAAGAGTGAAGGATAGCTGGGCATGTGGCGCACACCTATAACCCCAGCGACTTGGGAGGCTGAGGCTGGAGGATCACAAGTTCAAAGTCAGCCTCAGCAATTTATCAAGGACTTGTCTCAAAATAAAAAAGGCTGGGAGTGTTGCTTAGTGGTTAAGCGCCCCTGAGTCCTCCTATCTCCTGGTACCAAAAAAGAGTTGAGGATATTTTGGTTTGGGGGCAAGGTTTACAGATACTGGAGATTAGGATTCTACCCATGTTGAACTTGGAACATGACCATGCAAGCTACAACTTGGAGGTGACACTGTGGTTTGAGGGGACACAGTATATGCTAGGTTAGTGTAGGGTGGGGTGACAAACATGATAGAAGTAGAAGCGATGAGGTCAACAAGCCGCTTCTGAGCCCAGCCTTTCTCCTCTCCCCACCTCAGCTGGCCAAAGTGACCATTGTGGACCACCATGCKGCCACAGCCTCCTTCATGAAGCACCTGGAGAATGAGCAGAAGGCCAGGGGCGGGTGCCCTGCCGACTGGGCCTGGATCGTACCCCCCATCTCAGGCAGCCTCACTCCTGTCTTCCACCAAGAGATGGTCAACTATTTCTTATCCCCTGCCTTCCGCTACCAGGTGCCCACCCCAGCTGGCTCCTGCCCCCCTGGGCCCAGCGCTAAGCAAGCAGCTTAGGAACTGCTGACCTTCTATGTTCTTTGCCCCCCCCAACTTCCTGCAGCCAGACCCCTGGAAGGGGAGTGCAGCCAAGGGCACTGGCATCACCAGAAAGAAGACCTTCAAGGAGGTGGCCAAGTGAGTTCCCTAGAAGTGCTCCCCTCGCCCTCACTCCTGGGGGATCCAACCCAGCGGTGGCACCCAGGCCCTGGCTCTGACGGGGTCTGGACCCCTCCTGCCCTGGGAGGCCCTCACCTCACCCTCGCCTGCAGTGCGGTGAAGATCTCTGCCTCGCTCATGGGCACGGTGATGGCGAAGCGTGTGAAGGCGACCATCCTGTATGGCTCCGAGACCGGCCGGGCCCAGAGCTATGCACAGCAGCTGGGGAGGCTCTTCCGGAAGGCGTTTGACCCCCGGGTAGGACTAAGCCCAGGGGCAGGGAGCTGGCAGGGGAATGGGGAGGGCCTCTGTCAGCACCTTCAGAGGTGCCCTGAAGGACAGGAGAGGGTCAAATTTAAGACTCACAAGGAACCCCAGCATACACAAGGACTCAGGGATCAAGTCAGGACCTGAATCTCACCCTGCCAAGGAGGGTGAGGGGCAGGGGCAGCAGGGCCATGCCCCCAGGACGTTGGTCTTCTCACCCACAGGTCCTGTGCATGGATGAATATGACGTGGTGTCCCTGGAGCACGAGACCCTGGTGTTGGTGGTGACCAGCACATTTGGGAATGGAGATCCCCCAGAGAATGGAGAGGTGAGGCCTTCCGGGAAAGGGGCAGAGAGGGCTGCTGGGAATGAGGAGAGAGTCTAAATTGGAGAGACTGGACACACACCCCTGGAAGGAAAGTGGAGATGCCAAGGGAGCCCCCACGTGGGAGAATGARATGTGGACCTGCCAAGGTGCACAAGCCACGCCCCAGCTCCGCGCCACACACTGCCTGTGTCCCCAGGTCATCTCCATTGTTAGTGCAAGTTTTTAATATGAGAAAGGCACTTCCTAGCTGACCSAAGAGGGCAGACTGCTCCTGGGGTTTTTATTGTTGTTGTTTTGGGGGAGAGGTAGTTTGCTGGGTTTTCTTTCTTTCTTTCTCTTTTGGCACTGGGGATGGAACCCAGAGTTACTTTACCACTGAGCTACATTCTCAGCCCTTTTTATTTTTTGAGACTCACTGAGTTCCTTAGGGCCTCACTAAATTGCTAAGGCTGGCCTAGAACTTTCGATGCCCCTGCCTCAGCCTCCCAAGTCAGTAGGATTACAGGGGTGTGCCACTATGTGCTCCTGGGTATTGACAAATGGAAAAACAAAAAACAAATATACTCCACTGAATTCCCTGCTTTAGCTTTTCCTTTCCTTCTTTACTTAACAGAAAGAAATAGTGCTTTAGACCCCAACATAGACTAGATAACTAGATAACTCAACAGTACCACCAATGAACGTCTTGTTGATAACCATTATTTTCTCAGTGGATGAATTTCTGAGCTGGCCAAGCTAAAGGCATTTCCTCTCCCAGGAGTAATGCCTCTTTAGCACTAAGTACCACCTCTAGACCCAGAATCCCCTACAGCAGGCTTGACTGCAGACAGAAGGCTTCTTCCTCTGCCTTCCTGTCCATATGAGCCCTCATTCTGATCTGTCTTTTAAAAAAGATCTCAGTGTCTTCTCAGGATCTGGCGCTGCCTCCTGGCTACATCATGACATGGCAGAAGGCATCCCCTGGACAGAGCTCAATTTTATAACAAAGCTACTCCCAGTACAACCCATTAATCCAGAGCGGACCACTCCATTCCTGAAGGCAGAGCCTGCATGACTCAGCACCTTCCCAAAGGTCCCATCTCCAAATGACTTTGGGGACTAAATTCCCAACACACAAATTCTGGGGACAAACTTTCAAAGCATAAGCAACACCATAAACTGACTTATTTCAGCATAAAAGTAGTAAATAAAACCATGTGGCCCACAGTTCTAATAAGATATAGAACACTTCCATCATCCTAAAAGTTCTCTCATCGACTCCTCCAAGTCAGTCTCCTTCCCCATCCACCTCCCTACCAGAGTTGCCTTTCCTGGCATAACAGATTGGTGTCACCTGCTCCCCAGTGCCATACAATGGAAGCACACAGTACCGTGGCTTCTGTCACTTGGCCTGTTTGTGAGATTCACCCATGTTGTTACATGACTCAGTCCTGTGTTCCCAGCGCCCGATGAGTGGTGTTCACCATGGGAATATCCCGGCGTGTTTAACATTCTTCTGCTGAATGTTAAACACTGGGATATGTTAGACACTGGGCTCTTTCCAGTTTGGGGCGATTATGAATCAAGCTGTTAAGAACATTTTTGTACCAGGCTTTTGTGGGCTTATGTTTTCATTTCTCTTGGATAAATATCCAGGAGTGGAATTGTTGGGCCATACCATAGACCTAAACTTTTTCCTTTTTTTTTTTTTTTTTTGTAACTGCTAACTGGTCAGCTTGAATTGCACTCTTAAGATTTATGCATTTTCTTTGAGGGGCCGGGCACATTGGCTCATGCCTGTATCCCAGCGGCTCAGGAGGTTGAGACTAGGGGATCGCGAGTTCAAAGCCAGCCTCAGAAAATGTGAGGCACTAAGCAACTCAGTGAGACCCTGTCTCTAAATAAAAGACAAAATAGGACTGGAGATGTGGCTCAGTGGCTGAGTGCCCCTGAATTCAATCCCTAGTGTCCCCCCCCAAAAAAAAAGATTTATGCATTTCAATATTACCCCAAATTTTTAAGGGAGCAAATATAGTAACAAACCCCTCAGAAAATGGGGTGATTCACTAATGATATAGGAACAAGAATACTTATAGCAGCGTTGCTCATAACACCCCACACTGGAAACAATTCAAACAATAATCAGCGATAGACTGAATAAATTGTTCCATCATTAACCGTGAACAAATTGCAACACACACAATACAGATAAATCTCAAAACATGAATGAAAGACGCCAGACACAAAAGAATCAATACTGTAGGATTCGTTTTGTATAAAATTCAGAAAAAGGCCACACTAATCCATAGTGTTAGAAACCAAAAGATTGAGGCCAGGTGTAATGGCGCATGTCTATGATCCCAGAGGCTCAGGAGGCTGAGACAGGAAGATCGTGAATTCAAAGCCAGCTTCAGCAATGGCAAGGCACTAAGCAACTCAGTGAGACCCTGTCTCTAAATAAAAGACAAAATAGGACTGGAGATGTGGCTCAGTGGCTGAGTGCCCCTGAATTCAATCCCTAGTACCAAAAAAAAAAAAAAAAAAAAAAAGAATCAGGAAATTGATTGATCACCCCAAGTTGGAGACAAGAAGTTGAATTCTGGGATGCTGGTAATGGTTCTTGAGATGCCAATTATACAGGTTTGTTCTCTCTGTGAAAATCCTTACAACTATATGTTTACTATAAGTGTGCTTCCCCCCACTCCAGGGTGTCACACACGCTAGGAAAGTGCTCTACCATTGGGCTACACCTCCAGCATCCCCTCCCCACCCTTTTTTTTTTTTTTTAATTTTGAGACAGGGTCTCACTAACTTGCTAAGGCTGGTCTTCAACTTCTAGCCCTCCTGCCTCAGCCTCCCCAGTCTCTGGGATTACAGGCATGTACCACCTTGCCCAGCTAGGCTAAGTATATTAAATATATTTTCCATTTATAATATTTTCAATCTTACATTATTTAAGCTTACCTCCTGATAACCCCAAGGAGCATATACATATTTTTGAAGGGCTAGAAATGTTCTACCTGTCAACGGTGTCTTTCCCATGGAGGTTACGGTAGATAAGGATGATCTTTCTCTTATATTACTTTACATAGTTGTGTAAAAGTTGACTTTTTCAAAAAGTCAATCCTCTTCTGAAATTTTCAAAACAAAAACTAGAAGTTATTAGTAAAGAATACTAGGGGATGGGGTTGTGGCTCAGTGGTAGAGAGCTCGCCTAGCACTTCAAGGCCCTGGGTTCGATCCTCAGCACCACATAAAAATAAAGATATTGTATCCAACTACAACAACAATAACAAAAAAAAAGAATATTAAAGATCAACCAAGTACAGTTTCACATTTTCGTGGAGTGTGAAATGCATATCCATGATATGAATGCTTCCTTGGGCAGAGTTTTGCCGCAGCCCTGATGGAGATGTCCGGCCCCTACAACAGCTCCCCTCGGCCAGAGCAGCACAAGTGAGTGGGCAGATAGCTGGGGGGAGGGGAGGGAGCGGGAGGCATCTGAAGACACCAAAGGAAAGGATCCACCCCCACCCCATGCCTCAAGTCCTTCCCCAAAAGCCTGGCAGACAGAAGCCTGACAGAGGCCTGAACATCATCCCAGCCCCAGAGGTCTTCCCTCCCCAGGGGCCCACCCACTCCCAGGCCCAAGCCTCTGAGAGGCTGACAGTTCTGCAGTCTCCTTCAGAGGGAGGGGGGGCCAGAACAGACCCTGGTCCTGGCTGCCCCTCAGTTCCTCCCAAGGGCAGGTCCCTTCCTATCGCAGAGATGAAACTCTGAAATTGTCCCCAGGCTGGGCCTGGGCCTGGGCTGCCTCCCCAGTTCCCTGATATCCTTCTCTATCTTCTTGCCAGGAGTTACAAAATCCGCTTCAACAGTGTCTCCTGCTCAGACCCCCTCGTGTCCTCCTGGCGGCGGAAGAGGAAGGAGTCTAGCAACACAGACAGCGCAGGGGCCCTGGGCACCCTCAGGTTGGGGTCCTCACCAAAAGGGGTGTGCAGGGATTGAGGGCAGACATGGGCTGGTACAGACGGCTCCAACAATGGCTCCCTGCACCCCAGGTTCTGTGTGTTCGGGCTGGGCTCCAGGGCATACCCCCACTTCTGTGCCTTTGCTCGGGCGGTGGACACGAGGCTGGAGGAACTGGGTGGGGAACGGCTACTGCAGCTGGGCCAGGGCGACGAGCTGTGTGGCCAGGAGGAGGCCTTCCGCGGCTGGGCCCAGGCTGCTTTCCAGGTGAGCCCTTAGGCACCCCACTGTCTGATCCTGTCCAGCCCCCAATTCTCATCCTCACCACCTCCTCTACTCCTTCAGTGCTGAGACCTTCGATGTTGCAGCTAGAGGCTTACCACATCCCTGATTTTTGTCTCTTTTCCTACCCCTTTCTGTTCCTTCCCAAATCCACTCTCATTTTGCCACTGCACAGCCAACATATCTGGGCTCAGACCTGAGTCGTGGACAATGTGCCCTAATAGGAGGTGTCACACCCAGGCAGAAGCTTAGACAAAAGGGAACAGGCAGGGCCTGGCAGGAGGGTGGTCAGTCAGGCCCAGGCTGGGCCCCACAAATACACACAGTGTGTGCAGGGTAGGCCCCCTGCCAGTGGTGGGCTGCATACCGGGAAAGAGATCGAATTGAGAGGGTCAGGAAGAGGCAAGACTAACACTAAGAGCAGGCTGGGATCTTTAGGAAGTTGGAGGCCAGGTAGGTGTCAGGCAGTGCCTGGCTAAGATAGGTGATCCTGGCCAGGGCAGGGTCCCAAGAACTGTGACGTTTAAGCCTGGGCTTCCTCAGCAGGCAGTGATCCCCACTTGGGGATTATGCCTGGAGCTGAACAGGGGCTCTTTCTCCTCACTGCTGACACTGTTCTGTGTAGGGCCGCTGCCCCCAGGTCCCATCCATCCGGAGCCCACAGCCTGAGTTCAGCAGGTTTGCATCCAGAGCCAGGAGGAAGGCCACCTCAGAGGGGCTGGGCTGGTGGGGAGGGTGCCCTAGAGGTGGAAGATTTCCTGGGGAGGGGAAGGCCAATCCAGAGAAGCAGGCCCAGCTTGGGAAGGAGGGAATAGAAAACAAGACTTAAAGAGAAAAAAGGGGCCACTGAAAGTTCTGGAGCAGGACACCCCCACAAAGTTTTGGTTTTGGTTTGCGTTTTGTTTCTTTGCAGTACTGGGGGTTGAACCCAGGGGCACTCTACCACTGAGTACCATCCTGGCCCTTTCTATTGTTTTAACACAGAGTCTTGCTAAGTTGTCCAGTGCTAGTCCCGGCTGGCCTAGAACTTTCGATCCTCCTGTCTTGACCTCCCAAGTAGCACATGAGAAGTTTCAGGAATATGACTTTAGTGGAGGGGAACCAGTTAGTGCATCCAAGAGGCAGGAAGACTGGCCTTACTGGGGTGGCAGCAGTGGGGATAGGAAGGAAGGGAGGGGCTGGGGAAGGAAGGAAGGAAGAGATATAAGACTATGTGCATCAAAAAAGAAACAGTAACAGGACCTGGTGATATGGGCCTTAGCCAGCCATGGACAAGCCCTGGAACTCAGGCCTGGGATGTCCAAGCTGCTCACTGGACTTGTTCCTGGCCAGAAACAGATACCAGGGCATGCACCCCCGACCCGGCTCCGTAGGAAGATGGCATTTACTATCTGCATGTGTCGTGCTAAAGGCTTTACATAAAGTATTTCATCTAAACTTCACCAGAACTCAATGAGTTGGCAAGATGGGGAAACTGAGGCATGAAAAATGTAAGGAGTCAGAATTTGAATGCAGGTCTGAGTGCACAGCTGCCTTTACTGAGCTGCTCCCTGAGAGACAGGGCAATCCCTTATAAGACAAGTAACTCTCAGTGAGACAAGTAGTCAAAGGAGTCGTCTGCAGGTCCCCAGAGCAGCAGCCAAGCCATGAGTTGGAGAACAAGGCACGGTGAAGTGAGCACAGGCCTCACTTCATCCTCCCTCCTGCTCCTGGGGCTGCCCTGGCCCCTGCGGCTGGCCACCCCAAATGACAGGAGACTGCTGTGTATCCCACAGGCCCAGTGCACACCCATGTCACACCCTCTCCCCAGGAGTGGCTCCTCACTAGGGCCACTCCCTGGTGGCAGGAGGTCCTCAGCCCTTCTACTCATCCCTCAGGCCTCCTGTGAGACCTTCTGTGTGGGGGAGGATGCCAAGGCAGCGGCCCAGGATATATTCAGCCCCAAGCGCAGCTGGAAGCGTCAGCGGTACCGGCTGAGTGCCCAGGCTGAGGGCCTGCAGCTGCTGCCAGGTTCGGCCTGCATGCTGGATCTTTGCTGTCTCCAGGGTGGGGGGCTGGGGGGCAGCACTCGCTCTCCCAGGGGCTCAGGCTCAGCCTCTCATTTACTTCCTCCCCACCTTCAGGCCTGATCCATGTGCACAGGCGGAAAATGTTCCAGGCCACAGTCCTCTCAGTGGAAAACCTGCAAAGCAGCAGATCCACGTGAGGAAGATGGTTCACCCTCCCCTTCCCCCACTGCAGCCTCCTCCTCCCAAACTCCATCCCCACCCTGCCCTTCTCTGACCCTCTATAACTGCCAACTCCCCACCTGCAGCCGGGCCACCATCCTGGTGCGCCTTGACACTGGAGGCCAGGAGGGGCTGCAGTACCAGCCTGGGGACCATATAGGTGTGTGCCCACCCAACCGGCCTGGCCTCGTAGAGGCGCTATTGAGCCGCGTGGAGGACCCGCCACCACCCAGCGAGCCTGTGGCAGTGGAGCAGCTGGAGAAGGGCAGCCCTGGTAAGGGCTCCATCTGGGCAAGAAACTGAGAGCCTGCTCCACTCCCCTGGCCCAGTAGCCCCTTGAGGTCCGYCCTGCAGGGCTGCCGTCTCCCTTCACTGCTTGGCACTAGCTTGAAGCTAGGTGTGCCATCCCTGCCAGGCTGGCCTTGTTGCTGCATGGTCCACACAAAGCATGGTTCTGGTCTCAGAGCCTGCCCACCAACGTGTCCCCAAAAGACTTTCCCCTGCTCTGGGCTCCTCCTAGAGCCTCCCCCAACTTGCTCCACAGCTAGTGTATCTTCTACCAAATCAGCGACTAGAGTTAAGATAAATCTTAACTGGGGTTAGGGGTATGGAAGCCCAGACAAATACACTGAGGGTGCCCAGACAGGCCCAGATAAGCCCACACTACTGTTAGAGGGCAGATTTCCGAATAAAACACAGTGAGTTAATCCCCCAAAGCTAACTTGAGCCCAGATAGTGCAGTGTGAGCTGGGCTCCTTCCTCAGAGCTCCCTGTGCACCAACCCTAGGTGGCCCTCCCCCGAGCTGGGTGCGGGACCCCCGGCTGCCCCCATGCACGCTGCGCCAGGCTCTCACCTACTTCCTGGACATCACTTCTCCACCCAGCCCTCGCCTCCTTCGATTACTCAGCACTCTAGCCGAAGAGTCCAGCGAACAGCAGGAACTGGAGGCCCTCAGCCAGGTGGGGGCCAGCCCATAGGGAGCAGGGATAGAAGCATGAGCCGGGGGTACCCAGTGTCAGGAAGTCCTCATGCAAGGTTCTGCCTGGACTTTCTTCTCCTGGCCAATCTGTCCTGGTGCTTTAGTCTGACTGATGCATCTTTGGATGCCCAAGATTGTAAAGAGATGTTGGTTGGCCTGAACTGAGGGAGGAACCCAAGGAGGTTCAGCAGGGAGGGCTCAAAAAGGGAGGTCACCAAGCAGGGCTATGGGGCACCCAGTCCACCACATGCCGCTCTGCCAGGACCCCCGGCGCTATGAGGAGTGGAAGTGGTTCCGCTGTCCCACACTGCTGGAGGTCTTGGAGCAGTTCCCATCAGTGGCACTGCCTGCGCCCCTGCTCCTCACCCAGCTGCCCCTGCTCCAGCCTCGGTACTACTCCGTCAGCTCAGCACCCAGCACCCACCCAGGAGAGATCCACCTCACCGTAGCTGTGTTGGCATACAGGACCCAGGGTAAGGACAGGAGCAGGAACAGGTCCCTCAGTGGAACCAGGACTGGCCCCTTACTGGCCTCTCTTTCCCACCCATTAGATGGGCTGGGCCCCTTACATTATGGAGTCTGCTCCACATGGCTGAGCCAACTCAAGGCTGGAGACCTTGTGCCCTGCTTCATCAGAGGGTAAGTGAAACCTACAGGATGGGGAGGGGCATCAAGTAAAGAGAATGTCCAGTCAGGGATAGAGAAAGTGCCACATGATTGGCTGGGGACAGATGGGGAATCAGTGGGGGAGATCATGGAGGGCCAGGTGGTAACTCTGGTGAGGAATGTGACTGCATAACAGACCAAGATCAGGGTATCATCAGGCCACTTGAGAATGGTGGCTAAGTTTTGGACTTCACTAATTTGGACTCAGGATCCTGCCTTAAAACTACGATTTCCAGAGACACAGCAGGCTTCCACAGGCCTCTGTCCTTGGGCACAATGTGTGTTGGAAGATATGGCACATGGGACTGTGGTCCCCAAGACCCCACTCAACCCAGAAAGGACTACCGAGGGTAAAGACCACCCTCAACCATAGTGCTGAGGAATGAAAGATCTCAGGAGCCCTTTCCTCCTGCTGCGTTCCTATCTGACCCTTTCCAAAAGCTAGGAGCCAAATCTCCTTGTGACTGAGTTCTCAGCACCCAGTAGGCCCAGGGAGCCAAACCCACCCAGGAATCCACTCAACTCAATATAAACCAAATTTCAACATGATGGCTTTTAAACACTCAATGAGCTTCCCTATAATCAAAAGTCTGTTTGTTCTTCCACATATTTTCCAAAACCCCTAAGTTGAGTCATTTAAGTACCCTCCAGTCCAAACTAAACTAAATTTCCTCTAACCCAATCCCTTAGAAGCTACAGCCCCAGGGAGTTTCTGCCTGTGGGCAGAGTTTTTTAAATAAACACATCCCACTAACTGATCCAGAGACTACTCCAGGGACTCTACAGGTATAACTCCTTTACCATTGGAYCCTGGGTTCTTCTGTTTGCACCACCTGCCTGAGGTTGGTAAGAACTGGGGCCCAGGGAGGAAGGGGGCCTGATGGAGTCTCTCTGGCCAGGGCTCCCTCTTTCCGGCTACCACCTGATCCCAGTCTGCCCTGCATCCTGGTGGGCCCAGGCACTGGCATTGCCCCCTTCAGGGGATTCTGGCAGGAGCGGCTTCATGACATTGAGAGCAAAGGTAAGGCTGGGGCTGCAGGGACTGACTGGAAGGCAGGAGGAGTCACACATTCTAGGGACAAAGGGGTGGGGCTGGAAGGCAGGAAGCAGGTAGGAAAGAGTGCAAGAAACTGGGGCCAAAGGTGAAGGGAAATTTATTAGAACAAGGCTGGGGTTGGGAGGTGCCTGGCAGTGAGGGCTGGGCCTTGTTTGTCGGGCTCCCTGGTACATACTAGGTGCAGAATTGAATTAAGAAGGAAGGCAAGCTGGGTGTGGTGGCGCATGCCTGTAATCCCAGAGGCTTAAGAGGCTGGGGCAGGAGGATCACAAGTTCAAAGCCAGCCTTAGCAACAGCTAGGTGCTAAACAACTTAGTGAGACCCTGTCTCTAAAAAAAAAACCGGACTGAGGATGTGGCTCAGTGGTTGAGTGCCCCAGTACCAAAAAAAAAAAAAAGCAAAAGAAGAAGAAAGAAGGGATGGGCTGAGACCCAAAAGGCAAAAGAATGTCCCAGGTAGATTCTGGGCTGTGCCAGAGCTCACCTAGGTGTGGCTCGCCTAAGGAAGTGACAGAGTGTTTAGGTTGGGCATGGGGTGTCAATCAAAAGGGGGCTGTGACGCAGAAGGTTGAAGGAGTGGGAGAATGTGGGAACCTGCGATGTCACAACGCAAAGGGCATGGAGTTTCCAGTCAGACGACCCAGTTCTAGCCTGGCTCCACCACTAGCCAGCCACCTGAGATCGGTTTCCTTATCGGTAAAGAGACTTCAAGGTCTCTATGAAAGCGTCACGTATTGCCCTAGAGGTCAAACAGCCAGGAAAGTGGTTGCTTTCGACATAAATGCTGGGCTGTCAGTCTGGGCGAAGGTGGCCAATGAATGGGGCGGTGTCGCTAGGGCTGCACCCAAATAGGGCCCCTCCCAAGCCGTGTTGCTCGTAGGACTTCAGCCCGCCCCCATGACTCTGGTATTCGGCTGCCGATGCTCCCAACTCGACCATCTCTACCGCGACGAGGTGCAAGACGCCCAGCAGCGCGGGGTGTTTGGCCGCGTCCTCACCGCCTTCTCCCGGGAACCCGACAGCCCCAAGGTGCGCGACCCCGAGGGCGCGGGGGCTACCTGAAGCCTGGAAGAGGGAAGGGTAGTGAGTGCGCTCGGGTAGGCACGCGGGCCCAGGCCCCGCCCCAACCACTCGGCCCCACGCCTGCCCACCTCCGCCCCAGACCCCGCCCCGGGAGCGGAGGCCCTACCCCGCCCGCCACAGTCACGGTCCGCCCCTCACCCGCATCCCCCAGACCTACGTGCAGGACGTCCTGAGGACTGAGCTGGCTGCTGAGGTGCACCGCGTGCTGTGCCTCGAGAGGGGCCACATGTTTGTCTGCGGCGACGTCACCATGGCAACCAGCGTCCTGCAAACTGTGCAGCGAATCCTAGCGACAGAGGGYGACATGGAGCTGGACGAGGCGGGTGACGTCATCGGCGTGCTGCGGGTGCGCAGGGCCGAGGCCCGGGGCCAGGGCGGGAGCAGTGTTTGACCGGGTGAAGGGGCGGGGCCCGGGACTGGTCCGAAGCAAACCTCTGGGTTCTCGAACCCTGTTCTGATAAACTGAGCTCTTTTCCCGCAGGATCAGCAACGCTACCACGAGGACATTTTCGGGCTCACTCTTCGCACTCAAGAGGTGACAAGCCGCATACGAACCCAGAGCTTTTCCCTGCAGGAGCGACAGCTGCGGGGCGCAGTGCCCTGGGCGTTTGACCCACCAGGCTCAGACACCCTCTACCCTTGATGGCCCTCTGGTTTTCCACTCCAGTGCCCAAAGAGAGAGGCTGTCACACTACTGTGGGTTAACCAGAGCCAGCCACCTCCCCACACCTCTTAAAGGTGCCTTCTAGCACCTGTTGCAAGGCTGCAGAAATCCAGCCTTATTCCTCTGGGAATAAGAAAAATTCTTCCTTTCTCTCCAGATTGGCTTCTGGCAGGAATCTGCCTAACTTTGAAGGCCCCTGCCAGCAATGGTATTGGGGGGGGGGTGCTTACTGCTTCCCTGCCTTGGTGTGCTTTAGGTGAACTGTAGATTACCCCTCCCCCTCAGGAAGGAGTGTCACCTTTAAAGTCTAAATCATTCAAATATTTATTATTGAAGAGTATCATGAGACTGATGTTATGAGATCACCATGCCAGATGTTATGAGATGCCTAACCCAATCCCTATGGATTACAATTATAAAAAGACAAGATTTGTTTTAACTTGTTTAGCTGTGGGGGTGGTAATTCTTTGACAGCCAGTCCTACACACTGCAGGTGACCTAGCACTCTAAAACCATGGTTTCCAGCCAATCACAGGCAATTCTCCTGTGTTGTTCTGTTGCTCTTTATTGGGAAAGCAGATGCAGCCCTCAGCTGCCAGAAGTGGGGCATGCCAGAGACTACTGTCAAACAGCTATGAGCAATTTTTACTGCTTACTTCACACAGGATAAGAAGCCACACCCACTTCCTCAATGCTGAAGTCCAAAAGATGAGGCCTCCCTAGTTTTTCCACACACAAGGCCCCATTTTCCCCAAGTCTTATGGGAACCTAAAGGGGAAGCTCCTTTCCCCCAGAGGGAAGAACCCCCCTGCCTTGCAGACCACGTTCCTCACTGTCTTCCTAACACTTAGCCTGATCTCCATCTGGGCCCCTGAACTCCATCTTGTTATCAAGAGAATTTCTTCCCAGGTAACTGCTCTAAGACAGCCAGTTGGGGCACTGTCCTTTAGCCCCTTTATGTGGGGACTATTCCTTAGACTGGTTTCCCCATACCACAGGCATCGCCTCCTTTCCTACTCTTTTCCTGTTCTCTGGGGCCAGTTCCTTATTGACCCCCAGGTTCTGCCCAACTAAAGCATCCTGGACTGTCATCTGTAGGGCTCTGTGTGTCCTTCCATGACACCCATCCACAATCTCCTGTAGCTGGAGAAGCCAGGAACCTGGGGGTGGAGAAGACTCTTGATAGAAATCGAAGGATCTAGGTCCTAGAGATGACCATCCCCTTTACTCCAAATCCCACCAGTGTTCCCGTCCCTCTACAACTGCTCCAAACCAATTTCCTCCTCCTTCTTTCCTTCCTTCCCCTCTAAAGCAGACAATACTGACCTGAAGAGTCTGTTCAGTCAGTGCTGGGGACCTGGCCAGGTTCCTTCAGGGTGTCCGTGGTCTCTTGAAACCCTCTATGGAACAAATTCCGGACCCTCTGGGTTCCCCACTGCTGTCTGGGACTGGAGGCAGGACTGGAGCCTGGTGACAAAAGCCGTCAGCTGGGCAGTGCCATGATGTTCAACATCTAGTAACATCTGCCCCTGCATCCCAGCCTCCTCACCATCACTGGACCAGGATGGCTTCTCCTCATCAGGCGAGGCTGGCTGTGAGGGACTAGACCAGGGCCTGGATGGGGAGGAGGCTGAAGCCTCGCCCCACAGTTCCTGCTGCTGCTGATGATGAAGCTAGATGGATGAAGAAGAATGAGGGGTTCCCTCCTGCCCAAGCCCCTGGGCTAGGTACAGAGGGATAGCAGCTCTTGTCAAGTACTTTCTCAGACTCTAGGCACCCTTCTCTCCACTCTATGGCATTAATCTCCTTTCTCCCCATATTTCTCTTCCTGATACCCTTGTACTCACCTGGTGTAGGTAGATGGCATGGAGACTCATCTCAGCAGAAGCAAGCTCTGGGAGCTGGGCCACCTTCTGGCTCCCAGTGCCTCCTGGGGACACACAGCTGGAACACAGTATGCAGAGGTCAAGAGACATGTTCTTTTCCCCCAGAGGGAGGGTCAGTTCCTCTTTCAAATCCCTTTGCACCCAGCTCCCTCCTTCTGCAGAATCAGCCCCAAAGAAGATTCCCCTGCGTCTTGGGTCTCCACCCTTCACCTGGGGTCCTGAGCAATGCGGGAAATGGAGGCAAGAAGGCTGGCTGTGGCGGCAGCTGGGCAGGGGGCTGTGGGGCTCAAGTCCCTTGGAGGTAGAAGCGGATTCCCCAGGAGGTTGGCCAGGAAGGCCTCTGGCTGAACAAGAGAAGAGGAAAACAAAAGGGTCAGAAGAGAGGACAGGAAGGAAGGAGGGAAAGGAMATCTGAAGAATGAAGAAGAGCAGGCTGGTTGGGCCAGCCACCAGGTTAACACAAAAGTGAAACGGGAAAAGAGGAAGGCTGGGACCAGGGGTGGGAAGGGCAGAAGTGTAGGACAGGTCTGGACTCACCAAAGGTGAGGTGCAGTTGCTGAGCACCCCTGGAGTTGGGGGGCTTCGAGTGGAGGTAGCACTCCAGGCAGCTGCATCTTGTTGTACCCGGCCCCGAAGGTGCCCAAGGAACTTAGAGCTGTTCCCTGGTGGACGCCATTGTGGGTGTGCCAGCGAGAAGCGCATCAAGGAGAGCTCAGTCTTTCCATTCTCTGCACGCTGAGACAGGGAGGCTTCTGTCTGTCCCTCCGAGAGCCACTGTGAGCAACAACAGTCCTTCAAGATACTAGACACTGAGCCTCTGGGGAGTAGGTGGGACAGGAAATACTGCTCCATGTTCCAAGTGAAGGAAATAGAGCTGAGACAATGACTTCAGGATCATCCAGAAAAGCAGAGGAGCAGGACCTAGGTCTAGACCCAGCTCCCAAATACAGACAGTCCCAGTGCTGTAGATCCAGGCCCCAGGGAAAAGGGATGGCTGTCCTCTCTAAACTTAACCACTGGCCATCCCCCCTCTCCCAGCCTCTGTGAGGCCCTTTGCTCCCATTTACTGCCAGCAACTCTGTAAAGGGTCTACCGATGTCATCTCATTGTCATCCTTACACATCTACACTCTGCTTACTCTCCTTGCTTTCACCTGGTAAAGACACAAGCCATCAGGAAGTGAAGAGATTGCTCAAGGTCACAGGTAGCAAGCAATGGAGCTAGGTTGAAACCCAGGTCTGCTTTGGGTGAGACAAGCAAACTCCTACCCAGCATAACCCCACAGGACAGAAAAGGGCTCTAACCTGAGGGTGGCCATGGCGCTTCACATCCATAAGGGCAAATGAACAGATGTCCCCAACCCCGGCCACATCCACAGTGAAGTGATGAAAAAAGTCAATAATCTCCAATGCACGAGGGCGAAACCAGAAAAGCAGAAACAGCGGCGTGAGGAGTGGGGACAGGAGCTCCTCCAGGAGAGAGACCTGGGGAAGCAGGAGTTGCTGAGGGACCCACCCAGTGATCAGGGTTAGGGAGCCCCCAGGGACACTTGCCAGGGCAAGAAGCCTCCAACCTAGGCACTCGGTAGGCTGGAGGTCCCTGTGTGGCCCTTTGCCTCTTCCAGCCAGACCACCCAGTGCCGTGTCACCTCCGCAGCCGCCTGTGATCCCGACCCTCACCGCTCGGTATTGCAGTAGCTGCGCCATCTGCCCGTAGGCACTGGCCCTGCCGCCAGCGCTGGGATCCTCTGGGAGGTAGTGCATGTGCGCCAGGGCGGCCTGCAGCTGGAGCTGCGGGGGACGCTGCGGGGGACGCCCCTGGCACTGCTCTTCGGGAATGAAAGACCTGGAGGGAGGGGTTTGGGGTGGGGAAGGGATCTGGGGTTAGGAGAACAATGGGTGGGATATAGAGATGGGGTGGGCGCTAGAGGTGGGAGAGGTTAGGGTTCGCCAGCAGAAGGGGTCTCATTCAGCCCCTGGTCAAAAAAGGATACACCACCACCACCACCACCCCGGGTATGTGCCGTCCCACCTGGCCACGGTGGCTGTCACCCCGAGCGCAGTCATGGTGGTGAGTACGTGTTCTACTGCGAGCACGTCCTCATCGTAAATGGTGAGCACCAGCAGCGCTGCCAAGAGCGCGCCAGAGAAAAAGACGAGCTGGCGAGCCAAGAGCGCGCGCAGGGGCGCAGGGGGCTCCGCCGCGCGCAGGAAGGCCATTGCTGGCCTGTACGCGCGGGCCAGGCGCGCGTGCAATTCATGTGGCAGCTCGTTGAAGTGGCGCAGCTGCAGGCGCGCCAGGCGGGACCAGTGGCGCGCCCCGAACGCGCCGGGCTCGCGTCGCAGCAGCTCCACGTGGCTGTAGAAGGCATGTAGCACCTGCCAGGCCAGAACGAGCGGGCTCAGCGCCAGGTTCACGGCAGCCAGCAGCAGCACTGTGCGCCCCAAGCGCGAGGCCAGGGCGCCCCGCTGGTCGCTGCGCTTGTAGGCATCAGGCAGCTCCCAGCCACCACGGAAGAGCGAAAAGGGACCACGGAAGAGAAGCAGGTCGATGTTGAAGGCCAGGCCGCGGCTGAGGAAAGCCGCACTGCCTCCCCAGGGTAGCGGGCAGCGGGCGGGCAGCAGGCCCTTGTTGGCCAGCGCCACCTGGTAGTTGGTATAACGCAGGATGCGATGGTGGACGTCCAATTCCGTCAGCGGCCGAGGCTGCACGCAGAGCCCCCCGCTCCTCTGCAGCTCCAGAAGGCGGGACTGCACTTCCGCCCAGGGCACGGTGCTGAGCTCCTCCTAAGGAGAAGGGCCTGGTGAGCACTAGCCATCCTAATTCTACTCCACAGTGATGCCCAAGCTCAATGCACCCTCACGGGCTGCCTACAAACGGCCACAAACTCACCAGTACCAAAGCTAAGCCACTTATCCTCCATCCCCTCCTTTGGATTTCTGCCTAACCCTGTGCTAACAGGGCCACTTCCTACTTAGTTCTGTCCTATTCTGAATTGCTCTGCTTCTCATCATCCCTGYCACTCATGTGGCCATTAGTCACTGCTTCCTGGTGACACCATTTAATTCCAGGTGTGGAAGCTGCCTTCTTGGCTCCTTAAGGGCAGGTTTTTCTGAGCCTCCCCTCAGAATGACTGGCCAGTCTTAGGGGAACCTCTCCTTCTCATGTCCAGTATGCTTATCACGTTTGGGCCCCTATCCTCACTACCTACTGCCTGGGCAGGCTTTGAGACACTCAGCCGCACTCACTCTTAGCCATTTGTGCTGTCACCAAATTAGTCTTCCCATGACTCTGGCTTTGACCATGCCCTAGGGCAACTGTGCTGTCAGACCTCATCTGGAGGTCTGTAAACCTCATATTAACCCAGTTTCACCCAGCTTCCCCAGACCAGCTTAGTCAAATCTTTATGAGCCAGCCTTTCCAGCTCATCCCAGTATCTCCCCTTCCCTGGAAGGAATGGGAGAGAAGGAAAAAGAAGGGGGATTGTCAGCAGCCTCCAAGAGGATCAGAGCTCCTACTCTCCTGTCTATTCTGCTGGCCTCTTGACTTTCCCCTACTCTGCACCTGAAGCCTCCCTACTGCCAAGCCTTCTAGAATGCCTCCCCTTGCAGTGCAAGAGGGCTGTGCCTACACCAAAGGCTCTGGAATTTTGAAAGAGAACAAGGGAAGTGGGCCACAGAAGGTATCTTGAACAAAGAACTCAGATTTGGAGGTAGGAGTGGGAGCAAGGAAGGACAAAACCTGACCAGGAGATGGTGACAAAACCAACAAAGTGGCTTATTACAGTGGTGGTGGTAATCACCCAATAGGCCCTTGGAGGCTCCGTTTCAAGCCAGCAGGTTGATCTCCTCATTGCCTGGAGATGCCTATTGCTTTCCCAAATCCTGAACTGGGGCTTGGAATGTCCTCCCCTCTTCCTGTCCTGACCTTCCAAGCCCAGCTCAAATTCCTCCTGCTTGGAAGTGTGAATCAGGCGGTATAGCGATACCAGACTTCAAACTATACTACAGAGCAATAGTAACAAAAACAGCATGGTACTGGTACCAAAACAGGCGGGTGGACCAATGGTACAGAATAGAGGACACAGTAACCAATC